GACTGGAAGCTTGAGCTGTTTCCACTGCTCCTTGGCCACTGAGGAGCATGCTCAGCAGGTCTTTGAAGCAGCCAACCCCGGGAGGGCTGTCCCTGTGAGGAGAGGGCCCAGAGGGCAGAGGGTCCTGCAGAGGAGAAAGGTCAGGTGAGGGGAGGGAAGAGGAAGAGGAAGAAGAGGGCTTATCCAAGCAGACAGAAGCTCCTTGTCTCTGTGGGACCTTTGTAAATTGGGCAATATTTGGCAACAATACATGTTGGCTAATGAAGCCACTGTTTTCCTGCCTGGTGCCCTTCAGCAGATCTTCCCTCCTAATGGAAGCTTCCAGGAGCCTACAGGCGTTCCCAGACTCTCAGGGCCTTTGGCTGTCTTCAAAGGGGCCAATGTGGGGCCAAATGTGAGGGCCTTTCTCTCGAGATCATTGTGTTGGGATTTTGTGGGGACTTGGGTGGATAGAGACACAGGCAGCTCTCCATTCCTCTCTTTCTCCTTCTTGCCCATTCTCTGCCCCTCTCTTCAGGGTGATTAGCAAATAAATGATCATTACTAAGGCACCAAGGCCCTAAGGAGTCACCAGATGGGGTCCTGGGTGGATTTCTGGCTCTACTCTCCACTGCCTGTGAGACCATGAACAAAGTGCCTTGCCCAAGTCCACTCAGCTGGAAACAGGTGTAACAAGCACCTTATGATATTTCCAGAGCATCGGAAGACGGCTGACGTGTGGAAGGGGCCAGGCAGGATCCCTCGGCCTCAGTCTCTGCATCCTGAGCTCTCAGAGGGTTCTTGGCCTGTAAAGGAGAAAGCCCCTGGCCGTGGGCCTAATGGGAGACTCAGGGATAGCAGTTATATCTTATTCAGTGTGTGACCTCAGGCGACACTCAGAGTACCTGTTTTTAGAATGGAAACAGTGACTGTCTTAACTCACAGAGCTGTTGTTAAAGTCACACGAGACAAAGTCACGGACAGCACTATTTGAATTTTAAAATGCCGTCCAAATATTAAAGATTATTATCCTATTTCTCTGCTAGGGATGGCACAGCCACCCACACACAAACACACCTACATGAACGTGGACATTGCATGACACCAAACAGTGATGAACTTAGGCAGCTGTGTGCTGGTCGACCGGCCCTCCAGGGGCGTGGAGGGAGGAAGCCCTGATTTAGGGCATTTGCTAATTCCATGGCATAAATACATGCCTGGAATCTACTATGCCTGACATCAAGCTGCCATCAGTTAACCCACCCCAAATCCCTAAATATCTAATTAAGTGGCTCTCAAGTCAGCAATCTCACACCACTGGCAGGGAAAAGAAATGGCTGGAGTTCTCCCGTCTGCCAGGCTATTGTCCAACTGTGAATAGATGTCTCAGGAAGGCCTCTTCTGCCTTATCCCACCTGGAGCCAGTTCTACCCAGATCTCACACTTCCTTCCCAACACTCTTCTTGGGGTTTGAAGCTAGAGGCTCAGTGAGGGCAGGGTGTGAGGTTTACTGGCTTGTAGGGAGCACTTAGGTTGGCCAAAGACTATTGCCTGCTGGTGGGGCTTGGGCCTGCAATTCTGTAAAGGCTCCTTGGGGGAGTTTTGAGGGTGGGGGTAGAGCAGGGTTAGGGGGAAGGGAGGCAGCCTCCCACACCTGCCTGTTGAACACTAACTCTTGCCACTGCATGGCGGTTCCCACAGCAGCTACCTTCTTTGTGCTCCTTAAACTCATGCTACCGTCTCAGCGTTTGGAAACCTGCATTCTGCTTCCCTGCAGGCTTTTCGAGATCTGACCCAACTCCTGGCACATTGGAGATGTCCCATAGACCAGTGGTGAATGAATGGATAAATTAATGAGTCCATGTACACAGGCTTTGGCATGGCCTGGCTTAGCCAGCCCTGACCCTCACTGTCCTTCAGACCCAACACATTACAAACAGGATCCTTTGTCCCTTTCTTAGCCTGTTCCTCATCTTCATTTATTCATTCCTTCAACCGATATTGATCTTCAAGTGCCTATAACATGCACAGAGCTAGCTGGCCAAAGGATTTGAGGGTGCCTCTGTGGCTCTTTGGTGGGTTTGGTGGAAAGTGGTAAGAAATATAAAAGAAGGTGCAGGGTTGGAGGGACTATGTGAGTTGCGTTTTCAATATTAAATTTAGGTGCCTTCAGGACCTGCAAGAGTAGCTATCCAGAGGCAGATGAACACATGATGTGGAACTCAGGATAGAGGAGGAGGATTTTGTTAATCCTTCTTCCAACAAGAGTTCCAAGCCATGGTTGGCTGCAATGGCTTATGCCTGTAATCCCAGCACTTTGGGAGGCAGAGGTGGGAGGATCGCTTGAGCCCAGGAGGTCAAGGCTGCAGTGAGCTGTGATTGTACCACCACTGCATACCAGCCTAGGTGACAGAGGGAGACCCTGTCTGTAAAAAAAAAAAAAGAGAAGAATTCCTGGCCAGAAAGCCAGAGTGACCTTTTGTTGTCCCTGGTGCTCAGGTAATTGGTCACTGGGTTCATGGCTCCCATGCCTTTACTTGTTTGGTTGTTTACTTTACAGAATGCTCTACCTGTAGAAATCCCATCTTCCTTCAGGTACCCAGGCCAAATCTTCCTTGAGTTCTTCTGGAGCCTTCATGATGGGTGCTGGTCATTCCTCCTCTGGGCCCTCACACTCTCTTGGTTTATGCTGCTTGGCCTCTTCTTAGGGAGCCTCTGTGATAGAAGTGCATTCCTGTGCCCGTCCCTCCCCCATGGTCCTGTGAGCTCTTGAGGGCAAGGACACACCCCTCTTCTCTGTCTCTCATGGCATCTACCAGTTTTGGCACGAATGAATGAATGAATGAATGCTGTTAATAGATCAGTTAAACTTCATTGTTTTGGGGGCAGATTCATCCCCTACATCAGCCTGCTCTGCAGATGGCCTTGGGGGGCTGCTCTGCCTGTGTCCAGATGCGCACACTCCTGCCCTGGGGCTGGGCTGTTCCAACAGGCGCAGCAGGAAAACAGTCTGCCCTGCCGCCTACCCATCCTGCCTTCAGGGCCCTCCTTAAGCTGAGCCTCTTGGTGGTGCCCCCAGGTTCTCTGTGTTCTTGCCAACACTGTAACATACTTAAGAGGGTCCAGGGCCCTCTGACCTCCCAGTCATCCTTTTTAAAATTTGCACTCAGAAAAAGAGACATGGGTTATGATGTTTCTTAATTCTTTTATAATGATGAAAAGGCAAAGTCTAGTTGCCAATTTAGGTACAAAGACGCTTCAGCACTCCTGGGAATTAGTCAATTTTGCATTTCTTCAGTATTTTTGAAAGAACTTACTGCAATTATTGATGAAGGCAACTTTTAATGGTGCAATATCATGTTTCCAAACAATGAGAGACCTTGGATCTGTCACCGCAAAACCCAGCTGGTGATTCTAGCACCAAATCTCAGACCCCAGTCTCATGGCAGGCAAGCAGGATCCCTGATTAGCCTCCACCCTGTGCCTTGGCAGGATCATGCCCAGAGATGGAGGGGCTCCCCAGCCTCCTTAATGGCCTCTCTACCTTGGGCTGCGCTTGCTTCTCCATGGCTGGATGCCCACTGCATGCTCACTCTTGGCAGAGCCGGCTCCCTGGGGCATTGCCCATCTGCTCCAGGAAATGCTTTTTAGTACCAAGTAATCTACACAGAGTCAAGACTGGCTTATCAGAATAAGCAGAGTTCAGAGTCACATATTGGCCAGACTCACCTGCCAAGAAAGGTGTTCAGGTGACTTATTATTTCCCTCACTGTTGGTACCTTTTTTCTTCACTTAGTTATCTCTCTTTTTTTTTTTTGGTGGGGGTTACAGAGTCTTACTCTGTTGCCCAGGCTGGAGTGCAGTGACACGATCATGGCTCACTGCCACCTCCATCTCCCAGGCTCAAATGGTCCTCCCACCTTAGCCTCCCAAGTAGCTGGGACCACAGGTACACACCACCATGCCGGGCTAATTTTTGTATTTTTTGTAGAAATGGGGGTTTCCCTATGTTGCCCAGGCTAGTCTTGAACTCCTGGGCTCAAACAATCCTCCCATCTTGGCCTCCTAAAATGCTGGAATTACAGGCATGAGCCACTGTGCCCTGCCTAGTTACTCTCGGGCTAAGTTCACATCCATACACACAGGATGTTCTTTCTGAGGCCCCCAATGTGTCCCACAGGCACCATGCTGTGTGTGACACTGCCCCAGAGATGGATGTTTAGTTTGCTTCCAACTGATTAATAGCATGCAGTGGTGTGCTGGAGACATTTGTACCTGGGCTGTTGTGTGTCATGGGACTGTGTTTATGAGATGTATTCTTAAAAGCAGTATTCTAGCTTTTGAATTTTAAAATCTGACGTTTATGGCAATTGTTAAAATGAGGTTACTGTTTCCTACTGAATACTATCAACACCAAAAAAGAAGGAGGAGGTGGAGGAAAAAAAAAGAAGCAAATAGTAGGGCATCCTAGCCATAGGGCATCTTTCTTGTTGGCAAATAAGAACTTGGAGCCAGCCTTGGGTGGTGGCCATTCCCCTCTGAGTCCCTGTCTGTTTTCTGGGAGCTGTACTGTGGGTCTCAGCAGGGCAGGGAGACCCCCCCTGGGCAGCTTGCCTGGGACTCTGGGCAGCCTCTATTTTCTCTGTCAGCTGTCCCTAGGCTGCTGCTGGGGTCGGTTGGGTCATCTTTTCAACTCAGGGCTCACTGCAGAGCCAAGGTGAAAGCAAACCCACCTGCCCTAACTGGCTCCTAGGCACCTTCAAGGTCATCTGCTGAAGACAGCAGTCTCACAGGTCAAGGCAATCTTTCAGTAAAGACCCTCTGCTCTGTGTCCTGCCCTCTAGAAGGCACTGAGACCAGAGGCGGGACAAGGCTCAGGGGGCTGCGACTCCTAGGGACTTGCAGACTAGTGAGAGAGAAAGAACATCGCAGTAGCCAGGCAGAACCAGGACAGGTGAGGCACAGGCTGGCTTTCCTCTCCCGGCACGGTGTGGAGTCCTGCCCCGCCTCAGGGCTTTCCGGAGCCTGGATCCTCAAGGAACAGGTAGACCTGGCCGCGGGGAGTGGGGAGGGAAGGGGTGTCTATTGGGCAACAGGGCGGGGCAAAGCCCTGAATAAAGGGGCGCAGGGCAGGCGCAGGTGGCAGAGCCTTCGTTTGCCAAGTCGCCTCCGGACTTCAAACATGAAGCTTGTCTTTCTCGCCCTACTGTTCCTCGGGACCCTCGGTGAGTGCAGGTGCCTGTGGGCGCGCGCCGCCTGATGGGCGTCTCCTGCGCCCTGTGTGCTAGGCGCTTTGGTCCCTGTGTCCGGTTGGCTGGGCGCGGGGTCACTGAGCCCCGCGGTCCCTGCGTCTGTAGCCGGGAGGCGGCCCAGACGCGGGGCCAGTCTCTTTCTCACCTGGGGAGGAACAGGAGCTGGGCTCCTCTAAACCGGGTCGGGACACGCCTAGCTCTCCGCAGAGCTTCTCAAAAGGCCTCCCAGGCAACTGTCGTTTTGTGTCCCCCCTATGGATTTGGTCCCCATTGTATTGTGATAGGCGTTTTACCCGGGAGAAAAATTAGGCTCAGAGAGGGTGAATGACTAGCTCAAGGACCCTAGTTCAGATCCTAGCTCCTGCTGTGAGACCCCAGCAAGACAAAGCCTTTATGAGACTTAGTTTCTTCACTTAAAGAAACGGCCTAACCATGGGTCCACAGGGTTGTGAGCAGGAGATGGGGCATTCATGCACCTTCCGTGGCAGAGGGGTGGGGAGGGGTGCGGAGGGGTGCAGTGCTCCTGATGGCACCCTGTGTCAGAGAGTTTGAGAGGGAAATGTGAGCGGAACAGAAGGGAAGAGTAGAAGGAAGGAAACAATTGTTAGTTCCATAACCAGGAAGGAAACAATTGTTAGTTCCATAACCAAAGTAATTTCTCGGGTGCTCAGAGGGCACTCCCCAGCGCTGCACATTAGTGTGCAGTGCCGGGAGCCGAAGGTCCCAGACCTCAGCAGAAAGGGCTGTGATGGGCATCAGGACTTAGGCAGTGGAAGGGGGCACAGTGAAAGCCCAGGTGTCACACCTCCCCAGCCCAGTGCAGCCTCCACCTGTCTTATGGCATCTACCTAAGGCAGGGAGCTTCCTGGATGGAAGTGGTGGCGGTGGATAGAGAACAGCAGTGGGATCCCGAACCCATCCTTGTGCCTGCCCTTCTGGTCTCCTGCTCCAAATTCCTTCTCATGGGTGTTGGTCATCCTTCTCGTCTCTAAGACAGATTGGGACTGGCCAGGACCCGACTGTTCTCTTCCCCTCAAGCTCCCTGGCAAGTGGCCTGTTGCACAGGGTTAGGGCCACCTGGGAGGGGCAGGAGAGGAAGGAAGCCTTGCCTTCCTGGAAGTGGTCATGGGCTGTGGTCCAGGATTCTGCCTCAGAGTTGCACCACTGGGTTTCATATTCACTTGGATCTTTGGTTGTTTGGGTGCCTACTGAGGTCTGAAGTTTGAATCCTGTAGTCAATTGGGATAGTGGCCTACACCCCAAAGTGCCATTGAAATCCTTGTCCTTTCTGAGGAAAGGGTGGCAGTTGCCCTATGGGATTCCTACCCTGCTCCCCATGGGTGTCCAGGCTGACAGAAGTTGGGTGGGTGGGGCCAGCTGGATCTAAGCCATGTGAGCAGTGGGTGGAGGAGTCTGTCTGCTTAGCCCCCGGAGCCATGGGCTGGGAGGCACTCATGAGGTTTCCCATCAGTCTGAGCAGTCTGCCTGGGCCCTATCATGAGCTGTGTGGGTAGGTGGGGAGAGTAACTCCTGTCCTGGCCCCTGCCTTCAAGGCCAGGGCACTGCATGTCTGCCCAGAATGTAAGCTTTAGTCAGAGTCCAGCCAGGTCCAGTGGGCAGCATTTGAGTGCCTGACACTGAATACAAGTGCTGGGTTGAAGATTTTGGAGGGGGCAGACCCAGACCCGCTTCAGGGAGTCACACAGCTCCAGAGCTGGGAGGTAAGAGTGTGGAGACTTCACCTGGTGTTTGCGGGGCTATGGACTGGGAATTCTGGTAGGGCGCTCAGTGGTCCTTTAGTCACCCTAGTTCAGCTCCTCTTAGGGGAAGAAATGAACTCTGCCCACAGGTTCCCATCATTGCTCAGTCCCCACCTCCAGCTTGAGGCATGGTCTTCAATTTTACTCTCTCCCTTCATCCCCAGAACCCACCCATTACCAAGGTGATTTCTGATACCACCTCCCTATCCCTGCCACCTTCTCTGTTCTCAGTGCTGTCCCCCCTCTCCACTCAGACCAGCCCTTCCCTGGTGCCTTCCTTGGCCACAGCTTCTCTCCTGTTCTCAGGTCCCAGGTCTCAGTTCACTCTACCCCTGCCCTAGGGAGAGCTCCAGTCTCCAGCCTTTCCCATGAGTCACAGCTTCACTGCATCCTGAATAAGACCTCCCTGGATCAGCATTGGAGACTTTCCATGATCTGACCCAGACCCTTTTCTAACCCCATCTCCAACCTGTCTCTAACTTTGCCAGCCTAAATAGGTAGGCTAGCCCAGTGGTAAGAGTAGGGGAGTTTAGTGCCTGACTGCTTAGGTTCAAGTCCTAGATCCAACACTTACTTATTAGCTGTGGGAACTTCCACAAGCCACATAACTAATTAAAGCCACAGTTCCCTCCCCTGGAGAACGGAGACGTTGGCACAACTCACAATACAGACACGTATGTCTTCATTAGTTGCTATTTGTTCTCTTTTAACACATTCACCATTCTTAGCTTCCTTCTTTTGGATTTTTGCCTTTCCAGTGAGAAGTAAAATCTGGTCCTGTCCGCTTACACATTCCTTGTGTGACACACAGTGCTGTGTATACAGCAGGTATCCAGTTAAAGCTTACTGGGTCACAAATGGCTGCATCTGATTGGGTTAATTCTCAGTGTAGGATAGTTCCATAAGGGCTTCCAAGGCAAGATTATATCCCCTGGGATTTCCCCGGGATGAGGGTGGGTGAAGGGGAGCAGCTGGGTGTCTCCAAACCCCTGCAGACTCAGCTTGGGAGTTATAGGCCTCTTGCCCACCCAAGGGCCGTGGGTGGCTCTCACCATAAGGGGATGGCTCAGAAATAGGAGGCAGCAGAGGCTGAACATTCTACCCCATAGCACATCCAAAGGGCAGAGGGCTTTTACAACTGTGTGTTTGTTTTGTTTTTTTTTATTTGTTTGTTTGTTTTTGTTTTTGGTAACAGCTTTACTGAGGTATATTTTATATATCATAAAAAAAATCACCTATTTGCGTACAATTCAATGAGTTTTAGTAACCTTGCCGAGTGGTGCAACCATCACCATAAATCCGTTTTAGAACACTTTTATCCCCTCCAGTAAAGGTCCCTCATGTCTGTTTATAGTTAATACTAATTTCTACCCCAGCATCAGACAACCACTAATCTATTTTCTTGTCTGTATAAATTTGCCTTTTCTGGACATTTCATACAAATGGAATCATACAGTATGTGGTCTCTTGTGTCTGGCTTCTTTCACTGAGCATAAGTGAGGCTCGTTCATGTTGTGGGGCATGTTAGTAGTTCTTTTCACTGCTGAGTAGTATTCCATTGAATGGATGTACATTCACCAGTTATTGGACATTTAGGTTGTTTCCAGTTTTCTACTGTTCTGAATAACACTACTATGAATATTCATGCACAAGCCTTTATGTACGATAGGTTTTTATAATATTTCTTTTGGCTATATGCCTAGAAGTGCAATTGCTGGGTCCAATTGGAACTTTGTGCTTTACATTTTGAGAAGCTGCCAACCTGTTTTACAAAGTGGCTGCACCATTTTACATTCTCAGCAATGTATGAGGGTTTCCACTCCTCCACATTCTCACCGATACGTGTCATTGTCTGTTTTAGCTATTATAACCTGCTTAGAGGGTGTGAAATGATATTTTCTTGCATTTTCAATTTGCATTTTTTGACTAATGATATTGAGCACCTTTTCATGTGCTTATTTTCCGTTCATATATCTTCTTTGGTAAAATGTCTGTTCTTATCATTTACCCATCAAGTATTAAATCCTTTTTGATGTTATACTATCTAGCATTATGTCCTTAATTTCATTTTTAGATTGTTCTATGCTGTATGCAAAAATATGATCAATTTTTATATATTGATCTTATATCCTGTACTTGTTTGTTAATTCTAATAGTACTTTGTAGATTCTTCAGTATTTTCTACATAGAAGATCATGTTATCTGAAAATAAAGTCAGTTTTACTTCTTTCTTTCCAATATGGGTGTCTTTCATTTCTTTTCTTGCCTTATTGCTGTGACTAGAATCTCTAATACTGTTAAATAGAAGAGGTGAGAGTGGACACTCTCTCATCACTCCTGATCTTAGGTGGAAAGCAGTCAGTCTTTCATTATTTTAGTATAATGTTCATTGCAGGTTTTTTGTAGATGCCTTTTATCAGGCAACCAGGGGAGTAAATTCAATGCATCTTCCTCCCTAATAGCATGGATTTGAGCAACAAAAGCAGGCTTAACAGGAGAACCAGTCTTTCTGTACAGAGTGAATGGTGGTAGCTCAGGCACACCAACCAACCGATTTGTCCCCATTGACATTGACTTACCATTTACCTCAGCTACTAACCAAGTCAGGTATATTTTCCCTTGTTCTGTTGGCATTCCCTGGGAAGACATTTACGGACAAAACAGTCTAGAGAGACCTGGATTCTCAGCTGGGCTCCACACTGCTGAGTGGTGAGTCACTCAGCCTCCTTAGGAGCCAATTTCCACATCAGTAAAACAGGAGCAATGCCTTCTTTCCTGCCTGCCTTCCAGGTTCAAAGTTGCCAAAGCTGGTAGAAGAATTCCATAACTGATTTGAGGGATCATCATCATTTTTTAAGTAGTAGGAAACATGTCAAAGTCATAGGAATAAAAATAATCTAGAGGCACTTTCTCCTTTAATTTATTGAGAACCACAGACCTCTAGCCAATGCAGAGATCTTGTTAGTCCATCAAGATGCCTCCACTTGTGGCGAATGGCTGGACGTAGCCATGAAATGGAGAGGGAAGGAGGGCAGCTGAGAGAGAGGGAGGAGTCTGGAAAACTCATATCAGAGGGTGCAGTGGTCACTGCCTCAGTCAGTGGTTGAATCCTTACTTCTTGTCCCCTCTCTCCCAGGACTGTGTCTGGCTGCCCGTAGAAGGAGTGTTCGATGGTGCGCTGTATCCCAACCCGAGGCCAAAAAATGCTCCCAATGGCAAAGGAATCTGAGAGGAGTGCGTGGCCCTCCTGTCAGCTGCATAAAGAGAGCCTCCCCCACCAACTGTATCCAGGCCATTGCGGTGAGTCAGTGCCGGGTGTTGGTTGGGACCAAGCTGAATGGAAGGGAGAGAGAAATGGAAAAACATAGAACATGGGATTTCCTTACTTCTTCCGCTTCACCTTTTGGGCAACTAAGTTGGGAGCTGTCCTCTCTCACAGGGAACCGTGCTATTTTCAGAGCAGAAAGAAAGGAGCTTAAGAGACCACGTGTGAGGAACCTGGGGCCTCCACATAAACTGTTAATAACAACTGTTCCAAAATGAAATGTAAGCACTTGTGTTTGATGAATACATAGGATCGGCAAAAAGCAAGGTTACCCAGAGAGGGAAATCCTCCAAAAGAGTCATGACCTCTAAACCCTGTGAGAAAGAAGCTTGTCCTGGTCACATTGCCACATCACATGGCTGGGGCAGGGCCTGCCAGGGTGCTGGGGGTTAGAAAGACTTTTGTCCAAGACACTTTCAGAGAGAAAGAAAAGGGTATCATGACTTGTATATGATTTATGATTCCTTTTATTTTTTGAGATGTAAGATCTACTGAAATAATTTTTACTCATTCATTCAACAAATATATTCTGTGTACCTGCCATGTGCCATAATCATGTGTACTCAACTCCAGCAGAGTGGATAATGTATGTAAAAGTTCCCAAGGCAACTTCATAGGATTATCTTATAAATACAATGGAGTTATTAGAATACTACTTAGGGAAAAATCTAGTTTAATCAATGTTTTAGGCTATTATTTTACAACTATTACCTGCATACAAACAGTACCAGCAGCTGGGTGCAGTGGTTCACGCCTGTAATTTCAGCACTTTGGGAGGCCGAGGTGGGAGGATCAACTGAGGTCAGTAGTTCAAAACCAGCCTGGCCAACATGGCAAAACTCCGTCTCTACTAAAAATACAACAATCAGCTGGGTGTGGTGGCACATGCCTGTAATCCCAGCTACTTACAAGGCTGAGGCAGGAGAATCACTTGAACCCGGGAGCGGGAAGTTGCAGTGAGCCAAGATCACACCACTGCACTCCAGCCTGGGTGACAAGAGCGAGACTCCATCTCAAAAAACAAAAACAAAAACAAAAAACCACATCTCTTGCTTGTTTAAAATGCAGATTCCTAGGCTCTATTCTAACCTACCCAATCTGAATATATGTGAAAGAAGCCACAAAATCTGCCTTTTAAAATAAGATCTGTCTACGGCCATACCACCCTGAATGCATCCGATCTCGTCTGATCTCAGAAAATAAGATCCCTATTTGAAAGCGGTGCTACATACCATTCATGCAAATAAAATTGAGATAGATTAAATGGTTAAAAATAAAATTTGTATTATTGAAAAACTAGGGGGCAGGTTAACTAGCAGAACTGTAGAGGAAATAGAAGTCTCTTAAACAATGAACTAAATCATGGAACAAACAGACATTCTAAAATACGGAAAATGCAATTCATAGCCCATAGAGAATATTTAAATAAAAAATTTAGAAAGCACCAGAATGGATGAATATGCACCAGCTCTGACACATGATTACTATTTACACTCTATAAAAGAATAACTCAAGGCCGGGCGCGGTGGCTCATGCCTGTAATCCTAGCACTTTGGGAGGCCAAGGTAGGTGGATCACGAGGTCAGGAGATCAAGACCATCCTGGCTAAGATGGTGAAAACCTGTCTCTACTAAAAATACAAAAAATAAAAAATAAAAAAAATAAAAAGTTAGCCGGGTGTGGTGGCACACTCCTGTAGTCCCAGCTACTCGGGAGACTGAGGCAAGAGAATCGCTTTAACTTGGGAGGTGGAGGTTGTGGTGAGCTGAAATGGTGCCACTGCACTCCAGCCTGAGTGACTCCGTCTTGAAAAAAATAAATAAAAGAATAACTCAAATTGGAAAAAATGTAAAATCATAGAAGAAAAATGATATGAACAGAGTTACTAGTAAGAGGGAATTCATGATTAATAAAAAATACTTGTGAGATGTTCCCCTTACTAATTAGACCTGAGCAATTTGTTAGTACTCAAATTTTCTATAGTAATAACAGCTAACGAATGATAGCCTGCCCTGCTGGTGATTCAAGAGTGAAGCTGGTCCTCACGGGCAGTGCCATTCTGAGTTGGTATTATAAGTCTTCTGGAAGCAGAACGGCAACGGCAGCCGGAGTTACGGGGAGAAACGTGCTCCTCATCTGGGGGATTCCACCCTCAGGTGCCTACCCAAGGACACAAGTGGTCACAAGGAAAAATACTGAGGACAAAGATATTCAAGAAAATACAATCTTCACAGGCAACAGTTAGAAATAAACCCAAGTGCTAAACATTGGGGGAAATTATTCAATACACGAGAGAATACCCACATTATGAGAAAACATTATGCTGTCAACAAAATCAATAAAGGCTCTGCAGAAGTTAGAAAATGTATCCAGTTTTAGATGAATAAGCAGTCCACAAAATCTGATGTATTCCGGGGGTCCCCACCACCTGGCTGCGGACTCGTACTGGTTGATGGCCTGTTAGGAACTAGGCCTCAGAGCAGGAGGTGAGTGGCCGGCTAGTGAGCCTGACTGCCTGAGCTCCACCTCCTGTCAGATCAGCAGCGGCATTAGATTCTCATAGGAGTGTGAACCCTATTGAGAACTGAGCATGCGAGGGATCTGGGTTGCACTACCTGTGAGAATCCAATGCCTGATGATCTGAGGTGGAACAGTTTCATCCCAAAACCATTCCCCATCTGTCTGTGGAAAAATTACGTTCCCTGAAACTGGTCCTTGGTGGCAAAAAAGTTGGGGACTGCGGATCTATCCCACATTGCAAACCAAAAATATACGTAATCATGTGGGAAGCAATGTGCAGAAATGGAGGAACGTGGTTTCTTATGATACTTTTAGGATATCTTAATAACCATATGTTCTATCCAATAAAACAGAACTTAAATGAATATAGAGCAAAAATAGAAAACATCTAGAACAAACAACTTCCAATATAGATGACTGTGAAGGGTGTGATCAGGAGAGTGACACAGGCAGGCAGAGGAGAAAGAGGGCAGGCGCCGGACTCAGGAGTCAGAGAGCTGGTGCTCACTGTCCCGAAACAGGAGTCCTTGGCTCTCACCATCTCTCATAGGAAGTGAGTGGATGTGATGGAAAGCGGACCCCTTTGACGACCCTTCTAGCCGTGGAGACTTTCTGAGGTCCTGAAGTCCCACTTGCTGGGTTTGGGTGAGTTTTCTGCTGAAGCCGGTCTGGCCTCTTTACTTTCAGGCAAACAGGGCCGATGCTATGACCCTTGATGGTGGTTTGATGTATGAAGCAGGCCTGGCCCCCCACAAACTGCGACCTGTAGCAGCGGAAGTCTACGGGACCGAAGAAAGTGAGTTCTGCCTGGGGACCCAGATGCCATGGTGGTCCCAGCCTGTGCCCTGAGCTCTGTGGATTGGGAGTTGGGGAACATGTGGAGGTGGAGTCTCGGTCACATCACACATGCAGGGAATGGAGTCGCTGGGCTCTGGGCCAGATGAAGGCCATTTCTCCTGAAGCTGACCCATGACAGGAGGACACACGTGAGCTGCGAGGAAACTGCAGCATAGCGTTCCCCCTTCCCACCGGAGACTTTTCAGGGTGGGTTGTTTTTGTCCCTCTTGTCCAGGCTAAGAGCTTTCAATTCCATATGCCCCTTTGCAGAGCCACGAACCCACTATTATGCCGTGGCTGTGGTGAAGAAGGGCAGCGGCTTTCAGCTGAACGAACTGCAAGGTCTGAAGTCCTGCCACACAGGCCTTAACAGGACCGCTGGGTGGAATGTCCCTATAGGGATGCTTCGTCCATTCTTGAACTGGACGGGTCCACCTGAGCCCATTGAGGCAGGTAAGATGGTTGGGGGATAGTGAGTGACCTCAGGCAGGGGGCTCTACTCCAGTTGTAAGCATAGACCACGCAGACCATGCAGATGAAAGTGTGGGATGAATCAAGGTGGGGGTGAGACTGGCCGGCTTGTAACATCCTGCCAGCAGGATCTGTTACTCCAGCAGCCCTTGGGAGGCACAGCTGAGTCTGCTGTCGGCAGAGGTGCGTGTCTCGAGCTCCCAGCCCCAGGACAGAGGCTCTCCTGCAGGGGTGGAGGAAGGAGCCCTGCCCATGGGGACCTCAGGATGGGAGGTGTAACCCGCTGTGGCCAGGGCCGGCTCACACTCTGTGGTCCACTTCTCTGTGTTTAACAGCTGTGGCCAGGTTCTTCTCAGCCAGCTGTGTTCCCGGTGCAGATGAAGGACAGTTCCCCAACCTGTGTCGCCTGTGTGTGGGGACAGGGGAAAACAAATGTGCCTTCTCCTCCCAGGAACCGTACTTCAGCTACTCCGGTGCCTTCAAGTGAGTGACCCTGTCCCCTTCTCTTCAGTTGGCCAAGTGTTCCGTGGCTTCAGGCCGGGAGGCTTTTTCTCTGGCCCCACATAAAGCCCAGCCTGCTCTCGGGGACCAGAGAGGAGGTCTGGTTCTCCTACTGCTGTGTGTCCAACAAGAGTGCAGGCCTGCCCAGTGTGTGTTCCCCTCCAGCCTTCCGGGCCCACCCTTGCCCCCCACCTCTCACCAGCCCCCCGGGGCAGTCACTGTGGCTGTGGGCCCTCCTGTCACCTCAGAGAACCCTGAATCCAACTTGGCTCCCGTGTTTTCCTGGGTTCCTCATACTAATTTCTGCCCCCTCCCTAACCACAGCAGGACTGAAGGCTTCTTGTCATGAGATGTGCAGTCCTGGCTCCTGGTTGGGCAGGACCGCTGCAGTGTCCAGGCTGATGTCCTTCTACCCACCTGGGCCTCTCCCCACAGCTGCAGGACAGTGAGCAATGCCTGATTCGCCCGCATCCTCTGCCCCCACACAGAAGCTGAGCTCCCCCTTTTCCCATTCTGTCTGCTGGCGCTAGGTGTTTTTGCAGAGGGGGGCCTCTGCGCTTCCGCACTGGCCAGGGCACACCTGCACGCTCAGTCCTGAGGGAAAGAGTCAGATGAACAGGGATGCTAAGCCTTTACCCTCTTGGGTAGAGGCTTCAAAACTCTCTTGTATATAGAAAAAAAGTTTTGTCCTCTTAGCCCTCAAAGCAGAAGATGGGGGCCTCTGGACAGCACCTGAGCCCTTCTTCAGAATCCACCTGGAGGGAGCCCCTACCTTCCCAGCTGGGATGCCCCAAAGCCTCAGAGCCCTGCCCCACAGGGAGTGGAAACCCACAGGTGCTGAGTGCCAGGGTTGCTGTTCCACAGGGAGGGGCCGGGAAGGGGCTGCCCCTGCTTACCCCTGATGCTTTCTCTTTTCACAGGTGTCTGAGAGACGGGGCTGGAGATGTGGCTTTTATCAGAGAGAGCACAGTGTTTGGTAAGAGCAGGGTGATGAGCTGTGGGTACTGCCCCCTTTTATCTTACCTGATCATGACTCTGACCTTTGAGCTAATTAGATTCCGAAGTTCATGGCAGACCATTTTCAAGATTCCTACAGGGCACAGCTCTGATTTTATGAGCTCTCATATTTTAAATGATCAGGCTTCTTTAAACCTCCTGTGCCCACTGCCTTTCTCTTCCCCTCATAGACACCCACGCCAAGGTGCTTGGCAATGCATCCTCCAAGACGTATGTGCTTGTGCAGAATAGATTGTGCTGGTTTGTGTTTCTGGTTTCTGTGTTCATAGAGGTTTTAGCGAGCATTAGAAACCCTGCTGCTCGGGTTTTCTGCTCAGCATTTTGTTTTAGAGGTTTATCAGTATTGTTGTATACGCGTCTAGCTCGAGGGTCCTAACAGTTGAGGAATGTTCTGTGGAATAAGTCCACATTTTACTTCTCTGTCACCATAGTGATGGACAGAGGTTGTGCTCTCTTTTCCTCTACCACATGTAGCCACATGACTGATACCTTCACATGTGTTCCTTACTGTCCTGCTGGACAGTGTCCCTCCTGGACCTATACTAAAGCACAATTGATGAGTATGTAGAGGCTGAACACACTGCACCCAGGACCAGTGGACGTAAGCCCACTACATTCCATGCAAGACCAATAGAGACAGAGACAGAGCTACCATATTCCAACAAGGACCACCAGAGAAAGCAACAGATACCCACATTCACTCAGGACCATCAGAGACACACCCCACATCCACCCAGGACCACCAGAGAAAGAGACAACGCCCACATTCACCCAGGACCGTCAGAGACAGACTCTGCATTCATCAGAGGCCACCAGAACCAGGTCTCCACATCATGCACCCAGGACCACCAGAGACAGACCCCACATGCACCCAGTATTGCTAGGCTGCTGTCTAGAAGGACAGAAGGACAGTCTGCAAGTGTTCTAATTTCCCCACAACTTCACTTAGAAGTATTTTTTTACTTTCATAGTTTTGTCCAAATGATGGTTGTAATGCAATAGATAGTTCGTTGTTGATTTTAATTTTCATTTCTCTGACATCTGGTGAGTTTGAGCATCTCAACCTATTTGCTAGCAGTTTGGGCTTCCCTTTCTTATTTTGTGACATTTGACTACTTTTTAAATTGAGTTTCACATCTTGTTTCTGCATGATTTTGATTCAAGGACAGAAGTTCCTTCTATCTAGGTATCAAACCATTGCTGATTTTAAACTTTAGTAAAATCTTTTCTCAGTCAAAAATCTGACAACGGTAGTCTTTGTTGATCAAAAATCCTTGATATTGATAAGGTCAAATCCACAAGCCTCGCCCTGTTGGTTTGTAGTTTTGAGGTCTTTCAAAGATGCCCTTCTTCACACCCAAATCATAACTATTTCCTACAATAAGATTTGAAGATTCCTTTCCTCATCTATGTATACGTGCTCTACCTAGAAAAATCAGATATGGATTTGGCTTTTGCATTTTATCCCCTTTACAGTGAGGCAATTTTCCTTACAACAAAAACTATACAAAATTATCTTTTTTCTACTGATATGTGAAGCCAATTCTACACCAAGTTTGTATATATCTGAGTGGACCAGTTTCTGAGCTATTTTGTTTCATTGGTGTATTTGCACTTTTTCTGCTTTTGATATTGTGACTTACAATGGGTTTTACTATCTGGTGGAGAGAAGAGAGAGAGAGAGAGAGAGCCAGTGAGAGGAAGAGAGAGAGAATGAGAGAGACCTCCTTCTCCCCTCTCACTTTATTATTCCCTTTCAAATATACTGAGCTAAAACTTCAGAATTATTTTGTTGAATTTCTGGAAATTTTGATTGGAATTGTATTGAATTTAAATTGTTCCTTGAAAAATCAGCATATTTATAACATTAAGTTGTCCAGTCCATGGTGATGCTAAATTTCCCCCATTTGATCACACCTCTTTTTAGCTTCTTTGAAAGAACTAAACTTTTTCCTTTATGGGTCTGATGTGTCTTTGTGGGAGGCTAATTATAAGCTACTTAACGGTTTTAGTTGCTATTGTAACATCTTACAGTCCATATTGGTTTCTATTTGGTTATTGTTAATGAGGATAACATCAGATTTTTGTAGGTTGCTCTTATAACTTGTTACTCCTCTGAACTCCCTTGTTAGTTGTATTAGTTTCTGTTGGTTTTGTTGGTTTTTTTGGTCAATAATTATATCATCTTTTAAAATAAGAGTTTGTCTTTTTCCTTCCAATGTTTGTATCTCCCATTTCTTTTGTAAATTGTGTGATCCAGTTATCTAGAATTGTGTTGGCATTGTGATAGTGGGCATCCTTGCCTTGTTCCTGATTTTGCGGTGAATGTCTAAATTTTCTTCTTTTAGTAAGATTTTTGCTGTAGATATTTTGATTAATGGCATTTATCAAGTCAATAACTTATGGCACGGCATGGTGTCTCACCCCTGTAATCCCAGCACTTTGGGAGACTGAGGGGGATGGATCACATGGGGTCAGGAGTTCGAGACCAGTCTGGCCAACATGGTGAAACCTCATCTTTACTAAAAATACAAAAATTAGCTAGGCATGATGGTGTGGGCTTGTAATCCCAGCTACTTGGGAGGCTGAGACAGGAGAATCTCTTGACTCCAGGAGATGGAGGCTGCAGTGAGTTGAGATTGCACCACTGCATTCCAGGCTGGGCAACAGAGTGATACTCAGTCTTCAAACAAACAGATAAACAAACTAACAAAAAGGTTACCAGTTCTATCTATTACGATTTTCTGAGACTGAAAAAAAACATACACACACACACACAAATAGATGTTGAACACATAAACAGTCCTTCTGCATCTATTGAGATGAAGATGATCTCATGGTTTTCTTCCATTAAATGCAGATTACTTTAGTTTTTTTTTTTTTAATGTTCAGCCATTCTTTTGTTAATAGAATAAACTGATAAGCCTTCATCCCAATCTGTTAGTTTTTTAAATACTCTGTGGGACTGAGTTAGCTAATTCGTTATTTAAAATTTTTGCATTTATGTTCGTAAGTAAAATAAACCTTTAATTCTTCCCTCCTGTACTTTCTCTAATTTTGACATCAAGGTTGTACTAATCTCATAAAATGACTCGGACAAGTTTTTTTTATCACTTTACACATTCTGAAGCAATTTATTTATGATATTCCACATTTGCCTGAACTCACTCACAAAACCATTCTTTCCCTTCTTTTGATACACTCAGTGTTAGAAAGTGACTCACCTTCCTGCCTTATTTCCTGCCTTATCAACATTTTTGTCATTTTTATTCTTCCCAGAGATGTGGGTAAGGGAGTAACCCTTGGTGGCCCCCTGGGCTTGTCTCTACAAAGTGACTTTTCCAGGCAGAGATGCTGCAGAAACAGACGGGTCTGGTTCGGCCTTTCTGACCTGCAGGGGAACCGCAGGGCGCCCTAAGTGATTTAGGAAGAGGATCACACTTCGGCTGCCCCCTGAGGCTTTTGGGGCACTACCTTTACCTTTCTGAGTGTTCTGGAGCAAATCCCTGCCTTTCTGACCCTCAGTTTTGTCAGTTGTGCAAGATGTCTCCCCAAACTCAAAATTCTGTGGGGAGAAGGAGAACTACAGATCATGGTTACTGCTGGAGTTGGCTCATCTAGGCTCCCTCCCACCTCCCCTTCCCTGCAGAGGACCTGTCAGACCCGGCTGAAAGGGACAATTATGAGCTGCTCTGCCCAGACAATACTCGGAAGCCAGTGGACAAGTTCCAGGAGTGCCACCTGGCACGGGTTCCTTCTCATGCCGTTGTGGCACGAAGTGTGAATGGCAAGGAGGACGCCATCTGGGAGCTTCTCCGCCAGTCACAGGTATCTTCACCCACAGTCCTCCCCACTTGCTTGGATTTGGGGGGCGGGGGGCAAGCTTCCTTACTTCCCTGACTTCTGCCACTCTAGAAGTCCTGTAGCCTTGCTGCAGGATAGCACACTAATGCATTGGGCTGCTTGCCCAGGCTGTACTCTGGACGGCAGAAGCAATGGAACTCCTCTGCCACACTGACTGACAGCGTCTTATGATGGGAGCAGAAGCAGGGGGTGGTCGATGCAATCTTCTCAGGGCCCTAAGGTGCTTGAACCCCAGCAACTCTTCAAAGAATGAGCCATAGCTGCTGGGTCTCCGGGACGACACGAGTCCCTCTGCAGGAGGGTCGCAACTGAGGCTCCTGCTCTCAGTTAGAATGTTCCCAAAGCTCCAGATACTCTTTTTTAACATCTTTTTTGTTTCCTCCATATTTACCATTGACACCATAATTCTATTTTTTCTTAATTAGGAGAAGTTTGGAAAGGACAAGTCACCAGCATTCCAGCTCTTTGGCTCCCCAAGAGGGCAGAAGGATCTGCTGTTCAAGGACTCCGCCATCGGGTTTTCGAGGGTCCCCCCGAGGATCGATTCTGGGCTGTACCTTGGCTCTGGCTATTTGACTGCCATCCAGAACTTGAAGAAAAGTGAGTGAGCCCAGAAGGGTCCTGACGGCCGCCTGGTGTGGTCTTCTACTTCCCAGCAGGTGGCCCTACTTTGTGGCGGTCACTGCTTTTCCCAGCCACTGTGGGGTCATCGTGGAGGTTTGATACAGGTGTGGGTGTCTTCTGTGAATGAGGCCAGGTGTCTCTAAGAGAATAGTCTGGCCACCCGATCAGTGCACACCAGGCTCCCCAGGCTTGGCAGAAAAATCAATTTGCCTCTTATTAAGTGAGAAACATGAACATGAACCAAGAGAGCCAGGACCCCTTCTGGATGAATCCGGAGGCCTGGTGGAACACCCCCACTTCCCAGGCCCAGGCCTTGAACTTAGTTGGGGACACCATGGTGGGGGAACTCAACTATGGCTCCTCCTCTGATGGGGGGCTGGGAGTGGGAGTCTGGGGGAACCCAGAGGCTGCACTGTAGTTATTGGTGGTGATTGCAGGTATTAGGGGAAGTCAGGGCTGGGCTCAAGGTCCCGTAGGCCATCTCTTAGGGCCGTCACTGGTCTCTGGGTCATGGAGCTTTTATCCTTAGAGACAGACACAATAGGCACCTCCTGACACTAAAGATTAATGGATAGATTAGAATCCAGGGAACTTCTCCAAAGGAACAGAAACGGGAAACACAGGGAGCTCTGTGGGCCTGAAGAAGGGGCTTGGAGCTCAGAAGTGGAAGAGGAGAGGGCATAGGTCCACACGTCCACACACCTACTATAGTTTCTGTCCCAGGGAGGGTCTGGGCAGGACCCTGGCTCTGGGGAGGTTGGACAACCTGGCAAGGTTCAGGTTGCCCGGCCAACCTGCGGTCTTCCCTCTGGCAGGTGAGGAGGAGGTGGCTGCCCGGCGTGCGCGGGTCGTGTGGTGTGCAGTGGGCCAGCAGGAGCTGGAAAAGTGTGACCAGTGGAGTGCCCTGAGCGAAGGCAATGTGAACTGCTCCTTGGCCTCCACTGCGGACGACTGCATCGCCCTGGTGCTGGTAGGGGTCTCCGTCCCAGGGGTGGGTGGCTGGCCCTGTGGAAGACCCAGGGCCTGAGCATCTGCTTAAAGTGAAGTCAGCAGTCAAAGAGGTCACAGGGGCCCGAATGAGGCAGGGACACCTGGAGAGGTGTGCTCAGGGGCATGCACCGTTTTAGGTTCAAAAAGCAGTTTACTGTGGGTTTCCCACTCCTCTGATTACAAGAACAACTCAGGATTATTGTAAGGAATTTGGAAAATATGGAAAGGTGTGATGTTAAAACAACAACAAACCCCCCAAACCACCTGTGATCTCACACAGAGGGACAGACATGGTTAAAGTCTGGCTAATTCTCCATTCCAGTATTTCTCTGTGTGTCTACAGATACGCATGCAACAATAATGAAGTGTTTCAGTGATGTCGTTTTTAAGCCCTTTTCACTAAACAGCATATAATGGACATTCTTCCACATGAATGTTTACTCTTAGAAAACATTAATTTTTCTTTTTTTTAAAGAGAAAGATTCTTGATCTGTCACCCAGGCTGGAGGGCAGTGGTACTACCACAGTTCACTGCAGCCTGGAACTCTTGGGCTCAAGTGATCCTCCCATCTCAGCCTCCCAAGTAGCTGGAGCTACAGGCATACGCCACCATGCCTGCATTATTATTATTGTTATCATTATTTTTGCAGCAACAGAGTCTCGCTTTGTTGCCCAGGCTCATCTTGAACTCCTGGGCTCAAGCAATCTTCCTGCTTCGGCCCCTCAACGTGCTGGGATTACAGGTGTGAGTCATAGCACTCAGACGAAAACATTTTTTAAACATGCTTCCAGGGTATCTTTTATGTGAATACGGCTCAGTTTAGTCATGCTCCCATTCCTCTTTGTCCCTTACTTTGCTATTATCAATAACCCTGTGGTGAGCATTCTTGAGTAGAGATCTTTGTCCACATCTTTATTTTTAATATAGTTGTAAAAAATATTACTGGGCCAAAGAGGGCATTTCGTACTCCTGATGAGTCCATGACCCTGTGTTGCAGTCTGGACTTGTTCATTCTGGTGGTGGGCCAATATGATGGCTTCAGCTTATGTGTTGGACAACTTCTGTGTAGTGCTTGGAGTGCAATGAGTTCAGATTAGATGAAGCCAGCTGTTCCCATCAGTGTCCTCAGTGAGTGAGACTGCTCCAGGAGGATGTCCCCAAAGTGCCAGGGGCACAGAAAAGGTTTTGCTCAGAGGATAGAGGATTAGTGCAAGATGTGCCTGGTCTTTCCAGTTGAATTGATAGCCCAGAAAGCAGGAAGGGCTGCGAGAGAATTAGAGGTGCACATGGTGTTCCCTCTGGGTGCTCAGTTCGAACAATCCATCTCTTTCTGCTGTTTCACTGGTCACCTGACAGAAAACCATTCTCCCAGAGAGTTGTACAGACAGGCAGGATGAGATGCAGCCTCCCTGTGGTGCTGGAGATCTGCTCTGTCTTTGCAGAAAGGAGAAGCTGATGCCATGAGTTTGGATGGAGGATATGTGTACACTGCAGGCAAATGTGGTTTGGTGCCTGTCCTGGCAGAGAACTACAGTAAGTGGAGTTAGCATTCTCTGGTATATTCCCTCTGGGTCATGGGAGTGGGGCAATGAGTAATCCCATTCGATGAATGCAGGTGAAACGTTATCATGGACAGATACATTCAAAAGAGAGAATCTGGGAAAGAAGAAGGGAAAGGGGCCATGTCATCCACAAAGGCCTATTGTGTTCAGAACTAACAAGGGACAGATTGGTTTTATCTTCTTAATTTTTCAGAAGATCTTAGTGAATGATAACATACAAACAGAAAACTGCACATAAATGTACAACTCATTACACTTCACACACTATACAGTCCATGCACTCGGGCCCAGATCAAACACTGTGCAAGTTTCAGCAGCCCCCTGTCCCCCGCCCCCTTACTCCTACAAGAGAAGCCTCTCTCCTGACTTCTGAGGGTGCAGGTCTAAGTTTGTCTATGTTTTAAACTTCACGTTAAAGGAGTTGCACAGCATGTGTGTGTGTGTTTTTTTTGTCTGGTTTCTCTTGCTCATCTTTATGCATTTCATCCACCTAAGCGTGTAGTTGCAGACTGTTCAGTCTCGTCACTGTGTGAGTCTACTGTGATTATTCAGTCATTTGAGTGTGGATGGGCATTTGAGTAGTTTCCAGTTGGTGGCTGTTGTGAATAGTGCTACTGTGCATCTCTGTGCCATGTCTTTTGGTGAACATATAGACACATTTCTCCTGCATGGAACTGCTGGGACGGTCTCTTTGGACTTGATTCTGCATCATTGAGATTTAAAAGTTTGTGGCTTCTCACTACATCTGAATGGATAATGATGTCTTGCTTGTCTTTATTCTTTCAGAACCCCAACAAAGCAGTGACCCTGATCCTAACTGTGTGGATAGACCTGTGGAAGGTGAGTTGGCATTAGCCACTTTCAGGGTCAAGGATAAGTTTTGTTGCTGGAAGAGGAAGTGGTGGGAACTGTAAAAAATAGAAAGAATTGCAGCCCTAGAAGCTGTAGGGCTTCTAGGAGCCATAATTTTAAGGGTGCAAATAATTCACAGAGGAGTAGTTTCAATGAATGTTTATATTGACCTTCACACTTGGCAAAGAACATCCATATAGTCCCTCATTGTGTCCTGGTCATGGACTAGGGAGTGCTACTTCCCCCCTCATCGGGATGAGGAAACAGTGGCACCGACAGACCCCAAGTGCCCAGGATCTCACTCACAGCCACAGGTAATACTGTGGTAGATCCTGGTCTTGACCCAGGGTCCCTTGTGTCAAATCCAGTGCTCTCTGCACTACTCCCCCTGCCCACTAGAGCTGGTGCTTGCTCAGTTTCAGAAGAGACTTGCCCTTGGTGGGTGTCTGTCAGATGCATTCTCTCAGGAGGACAATGGCAACCATGTTGAGTTCAACCGGTACAGGACTGGTTCAGACTCACCTCAGACCGGTCCCTGGAGAAATGCGCCCCTGCACCCACACAGCAGTTGCTCGGCTGGATGTGGGTGCTCTTGCCTGATGCACACTGTGGTTGGTGATTTATGTACTGTTGTGGTCACTCTTGTTGTTTACAGTGTTTGTTGCTTTAGAAGCTTCCACCGAGAGACGCGTTGCTGGTTTGTAACTCAGGGACATTGTGTGGCTGGTTGAAGACAGTCCCCTGTAATCACTAAAAGAATCAGCTTTTCTTACTGTTTTATTTCATAGCTCAGATCAATCTCGCCTTAACGTAAGGCAGCAGCTTATGCTTTCTCGGTCTACCTGAAAAGTCCAGTTCTTTGTGGGAATCATTGCCTGGTGATGCTTCGTGGCCTGTTTTGGCCTGGGCTGCAGACAGCTCCACTGGAACCCATATGCCGGGCCTCCTGGAGGTTAAGGCTTGTTTTTCTGTCATCTGTTATGCCAGGATATCTTGCCGTGGCGGTGGTTAGGAATTCAGACACTGGCCTTACGTGGAACTCTCTGAAAGGCAAGAAGTCCTGCCACACCGCCGTGGACAGGACTGCAGGCTGGAACATCCCCATAGGCCTGCTCTTCAACCAGACGGGCTCCTGCAAATTTGGTAAGGAGTCCCAGAGGCGCGGTGGGTGGGCCCCCCTGGGGGGTAGGCACATTGTGCTGCGGAACCTTAGCAAAGGGAGGGGAGGGATTTGCAGGCTGATAGTGGCCTGCAGGCCTCTTCCGACATAAGGAAATTCCCCCTGTGGCTGCCCCCTGGAGGTGTGGGTGCACTCGGGGTTTCCCTGCACAGCACTTCCCAAGCCCCACTCACCCTACCCCAAGATTAAAGATTGGAATATCTGCCTATTTCGCTGCACCCTAAGAATAAATGCAAGTTCCAAGATGTACAAATGCTTTTTAGCTCTTGGAGCTCCAGACCTAAATTCCTCTTAAACTCTGGCTTCTTAGCTTGGGGAAGAGTGTCTGCCTGCCTCATGAAAGGTGACTCCTGTTACTAAGCAAAACTGACTGCTTACTCTACACAGCAAAGGAGCCTGAATAAGACCTCAAGAGTCCGGCTCCACCTGCTTCTGGAGTTTTCTCTCCCCACCACACCCCGCACTCATCTTAGTCAGCATAAGCCATGCCCTGCCTGCTGCGGGCCCTGTGGTGTAGTGTGTAGCACATCCTCAATGAGACTCCCCTCTTGTATGGGCGTCTCCTAGAGCAGGGGCTCCACTGCATGGATTTTGATTGTGGCTGGGGCAGGCTTTCACGTGGCTCTGCTCCTCACCAGCTCCACGGTAGCCTCTGAGCTATAGGGAAACTGCCAGGATGGGGTGGGAACTCCCAACTTTTCCCAAGGTTGACACATAGTGTGGTTCTTCCAGCAGCAGGGGTTGTGGGAGTCTGATAATGGGTGACATTTGCTCAGTGGGGCAGAGCTTTCTTGTCACCTTTGTTTATTCTTTCTTGGGTTAAATCATACAATGAGTGAATTCAGATCAGGTTCAGCTGCAAGGAACAGAAAACTCCTGAAATAGGAGAGGCTTAAACAATACAGAAGTTAATTTCTGTGTCATGTAGTCCAGAGGTGGTTTGCCTAGGGCCGGTATTAAGACAACGTGGTGTCTGGAACCTGGGCTTTCATCATCGGGCTACTCTGCCATTTGTATGGCTTCTGTGCTCAAGGTTACCTCATGGCCTACATTGCATCTGTAAATCCAGTCCCTGCTTCTGCATTCCATGTGCAGGATGAAAAAAAGAGAAGAGAGGGCAAAAGGCATGTACCAATTGTCTTTCAAGGATGTTTCTAAGAAGCTGGCACCCAACTCTCCTGCTGACATTTCACTGGCCAGTAGCTACCCATATACCCATAAGAGCCCCAGGGAGTCTGATAAGTCTAGTCTTTATACCAAAGGGCCAGGCACCCAGATACAAAGCAGGGTTTCCATTACTGATGAAAACAAAATCAGGTCCTGGACTAGGCAACTCACAGGCTCTGATGCACACGGCCACCATGGTCATGAGCTGAGTCCCCAGCAAGAGGCTGTGATGATGGGACCCTCCAGGCAGCCACAGCTGTCATCCCCAGACTTAGTTGGGAGTCCATCAGTGCCTACAGTCTGAATGAAGCTTTTCTGCTGGGTCCTATGTTGGTGACAACATGTCGCTTTGTGATGGTGAGTGTGTTCCTACCAGACCTGCGTCCTGGAAGCCTAGATGAAAACGGAAACCACCGGCATAGATGTAGATAAAGCTGCTTGTGACCAGGTTTGAAAGCGACTTCCTGTGTTCTTCCCTCCAGAGAAAATACTTAGTCAAACGGCCCCTGGGACTGAACCACGGATTTAATCCTCTGTTGCCTGTGTTTGGCATGCAGCAGCGGGTGAGAAAAGTGCCGTGCCAACAAAAGTGAGAGATACTAACGGCTACACCGCGCGGCTTCCGGTGAGTCTTGACTGATCCATCAGGGATGGGGCCATCATGCCATCCCTCACAGTCGAATGGCATTCCTAAGGCCAATGGTGACCTGTCAAGCAGAGTTGGCTCCATGGGGTGCCCCCCCATGAGGGCTGCACACCCACCCACTGCCTCCGAGAAGTGGAGGCGGCAGCAGGGCTTTTCACCTCAGCCCACAGTGGCTCTCCCTGTGCTTGAGCCAAGATCAACAGCAGTAGCCCTCAATACACGTCCTGAAAAATCCAATGTAGAGGTGTCAAGTGCTTTCTACAGTTCCATTGTGGGGAATTCTCGTTTCATCACCGCCCCTCTCTCCTCAACCTAGGTCACATTAGCGTAGGTGTCCCCTTTTCCCTGACTGGCCCTTGAAATGCAACAAGAGATTAGCAAAAAATTGCAGTTATTCCCAGTAACGAAAGGTAAAAATAAGTCAAAAAACAAGTTTCAGAATTCACAATTATAACCACTGTGGATGTATCACACTCCACGTTTAACAGCGCCCCCTTAAGCTGGCTTGCTTCTCAGGGCCACGAGTTACCGTGTGAAGGGCCAAAGAGCGGGAATCTTCCGGTCCTTTTCCGCCACTTGCCCGAAGGAGTTACAATTTCAACCCCCACCGAGGCGGCACCGTTGGCGAGGTTCTTTGAATTTTTAACATAAATTCAACCGCCTTGTTCCAGTGATGAAATGACATAAAAGTGGCTTTTGCTGTACTCTGAGTGGCTCATAAAAAACCCAAAACAAAAAAAACTTTTGTGAATGTATAAAAATATCTTTAAGGGACTAAGGATTTGCAAATGGAAATGTGATTCTCCTCAGAAATGCTGAACACACGTCTCATAAGAGCCCAAAAGAATCCTGTGCTCCTCTTTTTTTTTCAGACCTGCAGCAAGGTATTAGTTCACTGGAAACACCCACATTTTAATATTCCTGTTTATACTGGAAGAAAATTCCTTGTCTTCTGTTTAAATTCTATCTAGAATCCAGATTGGGGAAATTTATAGCAAAATAATTAAACGCTGAAACCAGTGTCTTACCCCTTTATTTCTATGATCCTTATAATGCTGGTTCTTAATTTTTAACTTTCTGCAGACTCTGTACTATAGAAGAAGATCTAGCCTCTCACACTGCCCCCGGCACCTCTTCCACCCCACAACCACAAACTTCAGCTCTTCAGCACCCAACATGCTAATGTCATATTCAGTACTTATGACTGTGTAAGCATTATTCTCATGTTATATTTCCCTTATTGTATAAGCTTTTGTTTATCTGGAGTTCATAGGTGTCTTTTCTTATCTGCTTAATTTTCTGCACTTGAAAAAAAAAAACAACACTACTTCATCCCAAAACTCTCTGCCAGTAATGTAAATCTTCTAACAACATGCACATACACACACACACGCACACGTACACACACACACACACAGTGGGTGCTATCGCAGTTTCATCATTTACTTGGAACTGCTGCTCCGGAATGTGTCCATCTTCCTGCTGCAGTTTGGATTGGTTGCTCTGCAGGCCACCTGCACATCTGTGGTCCTGGGGGTCCTGTTGACCATTATTCTGGTGCTTCACTTTGTCTTCATGTTAGATTGCCTGTTTCCTGGATTGTATATCTTTAGCTTTCTTGGTTTTGTAATGTCTTTTATGTAGGGTTTTAAAAGGAGGACAGGTACACCTGTGTTCAATCTGCCATTGTAAACAGTAAATTCCTAGAAATAGTTGTCTTTTAGATGTGTACTTCTGTATTTCAGTTTTTGGAATGCATATTACAAATATTTATGAAAGCCCTACTAGTTTCTCTTCTGTAATTATGTGCATATTTTCTGGAACATTTTAGGTGCCTGGCTGAGAATGCTGGAGACGTTGCGTTTGTGAAAGATGTCACTGTCTTGCAGAACACTGATGGTAGGTGAAGGTGTTTCCTTTTCTCCTTCAGAGCAGAGTCTTTGGCATCACAACACATCTTAGTGTTCAGGTTTGCCTTTGGGAAGGTTTTATAACATTTTCCAGATTTTTGATTAAAAGAATTCCAAAATTCTTTATCTCAATAGACAACATGATAACATCTGTAGGTGTCATATGGATTTTGAAACCAAATTCATACACACACTCTCACACACACAGACACACATGCACATACAGTCACACACACACAGATACTAGCCATGCTCAGTAGCAAATGTCTCCCTGGCTTCATCTAGTCAACCACAGAAACACACCGTCTGCCCTCATGCATGAGATCAGGCATGCCTGTTGGAAACTGTGGATGATGCTGCAAAACTGGGTGAACATATGCAAATGAAGGCTCCCTTTATGAAAAAGGAAGTAGAGGCCTTCATTCATCCCCATGTGAGCCTTGGTCTGGAGACTCCTTGGGAGTTAGTGGGAACAAAATTACAGGTGGTTGCAGAAGACGGAAGATAATCTTCCAGTCAATGTTTGAACAATCACTCTCTCTTCTGGTCCTCAGCCATTTGCTACCTTCCAATCTGTATCTGTCTCCTTAGCCCCACTTCAGCATTCCCACCCCCTAGTCTCAGCAGGTGACTTGCTATTTTGTTCCCTGAGAAAGAACTGCCTCCACTTTCGGCCTCCCTCCTTCAGCAATCACTGCAGTCACAGTCACTTCTCCCTTCTGCTTTTGCCCCTTCTAGAGTCTCTTGGGATGGAGATTAAAACCAGGCATGTAAATCTGAAAGTATTTCAGTATCAAATAGAGGAATCCAAGAGAATGAATAAAGTGCTTTCTTAAAGGGAGAGGGCAGAGAGACAAGCAGGAGCCTGAACAATGAGCCTGTATCTGCACAAAATAGACATGCATACAATTACATTTAGAATTTACAAGCCATTCACTAAAGTAATCTCCAGGGATCAGATTGACGTCAAATTTAATTTTAACTTTCTCTGGTACTTTGCAACTGTATTTTGTTAGAATTGACTATATATATTTGATAAATCTACAAAAGTTCCTTTCCTTTCTCTGGTTACACTAATAGCATTTGAATATGAAAGGGAAGAGACACCAATTTCTCCTTGAATGTAAACCATCTATTCTTTTTCTGGAACTCACTGAAAAATATGGCATAGGTGGAGGGTTTTCTTCTTTAAAAAAATAAGAACTCGTAACAGCTTTATTGAGGTAGAATTCATATACTAAAAATATCCACCCATGCAAAGTGTACAATACAGTGATCTCCGGCACATTCACAGAGTTGTGCAGCCATCAACACAGTCCAACTCTAGAACGCTTGCATCATCCCATAAAGAAACCCCTGCGCATATTATCAGTCATTGCCCCATCCTTCTTCAGCACTGGGGACCATCAATCCACTTTCTGCCTCCATAGATTGGCCTATTCTGGACATTTCATATACATGGAGTAATATAATATATGGTGGGTTTTTTTTGAGATGAGGTCTTGCTGTGTTGCCCAGGCTGGTTGTGAACTGCTAGCTTCAAGTGATTCTCCCAGCTTGGCCTCCAAAGGGCTGGGATTACAGGCATGAGCCACTCTGCCCAGCCTATTACGTGGTCTTTTGTGACTGGCTTCTTTCACTTAGCATCGTCTTCAAGATTCATGCATGTTGCAGCATGTACCAGAACTTCACTCCCTTTTATTGCTGAATAACATTCCATTGCATGGACACAGCACTCATATTTGGTATATTTGAAGTTTGTACAGCTTGTGTAGGACAAAGCTCATTTTCTCTTCCTCACATCACCACAACCCCAGTGTGTGCATTTGAGAGATCAGTGGGATGGCCACACCCATCCAGAAGAGACTTGGTGGCTAAGCAGGGGAGCCGTGGATGATGCCACCTTCTTTTTCTGCCCAGGAAAGAACACTGAAGCATGGGCTAAGGATTTGAAGCTGAACGACTTTCAGCTGCTGTGCCTCGATGGCACGCGGAAGCCTGTGACTGAGGCTAGGAGCTGCCATCTCGCCACGGCCCCGAATCATGCCGTGGTGTCTCGGACAGATAAGGTGGAACGCCTGAAACAGGTGCTGTTCGACCAACAGGTATGGACCACAGGGCTTCTAGTGCTTTCTTAGCTGTGTGGGCTCTTGTTAGGTGGGGAGATCATGGAGCTAGGTGCACCAGCCCACTCGAGCCTCTCTAGTCCCTCTGCTTGAAGCTCATGGTGACAGTATTGGCTTCATGCCGTGGGGTTGCCCAGAGTGTCAACAAGAACAACAGAGGCTTTTGACTCTGGGCTTTCTGGGACTCACTCGATTTCGGCTAAGTCTCTGTGCCCTGGCCTTGTTGCCCTCACTGCCTGGCTCAGAGACTGTCTTTTGCCCTCCTGTTGTTCTTCTGGCAAATTTGGGAACTGCTGAGCCTTCCTCCCACACTCCTTGGTATAGTGCTTTACTCAGGTGGTGTTTCCTGAACCTGGGCCGTCTGAACAATGCTCTAGGCCAGGCCCCTAAAACAGCAAACCCAAAATGTGCCCTATAGATTCAGGGCTACCTAAATGTGATTTGAAGAAAATCCCCAAATTTTCTTAAAATCTGGGATTTTATTAGAACTTCTATTTGTATCATATAACATCATGTCTCTATGTGTGCTTTTAAAGAAAACAACCCAGGAATAATAAGATTGGCCACCATAACCGGTCTTTATGGAGCCCTTACTGTGCATACGCACTGGTGCTGGTGAGAGAGCTGCCATGACTGAGGTTTGGGTCTCAGTCTCCCCACATGGGAGCCTGGGACAGAGCAGGAACTGTGTGAGGGAGGCAGGGTGACCGGCCTGCACACTGAGCTGGTTAGTGGCCGAGCCTGGGTTTTCCTAGCAGCCTGCCTCTCTAGAAGAGCTGCATATTAGAATGTCCTAAGTAATTGACTTGTGAGGGCAGATCTCAAAACCCCTCTGCTGTCACCTTGTCACCCATAAGAAGTCGTATGGGAAAAGGTCGCAGGTTAAGAAGGAAGGAAAGATGGCAGATAGTAGGAGGTAGGACCAGAAGTGGTGTGAGGCCTGGATGCTGCCCAGGGCGGGCCTGCCAGCAGGAGTGTGGGGTGGGGGACTCCACTAAGGAGGTGGAATGACTCCGGAACTCAGCTCTTTCTGCCCCATGGTTTTCTCAGGGCTGTTCTTGGGTGGGAGAAGTACCCCTTTGCCTCCTTTAACCCATGAATTCCTCTTTTCCTTTTCCTTAGCTACTCACTGTCTGCCCTTTTGTTGCAGGCTAAATTTGGGAAAAATGGATCTGACTGCCCGGGCACATTTTGCTTATTCCAGTCGAAAACCAAAAACCTTCTGTTCAATGACAACACTGAGTGTCTGGCCAGACTCCATGGCAAAACAACATATGAAAAATATTTGGGACCACAGTATGTCACAGCCATTACTAATCTGAAAAAGTGCTCAAGCTCCCGTAAGTAGACCCTAGTTAGCATCCCCGAGAAACCACCACTGGTGAAGGTCAAGGTCTGAGGGCCAAACAGCATTCTAGGAACTAACACAGGTGTAAAAATGTTAAGGAAAGATAGTATCTCTTTATAATTCAGGACATTCTAATCTCATTGATAAAAGAATTAGAGAATAAAATAGAGCAGTATGTAATATATTTTTATAAAGTTTATAGTACTGATAGTGACTGCTCTGTCATGAAGTCTTTGGAAAATGATAATCCATTTTATTCAGTAAAGTGAAAAGTGTATATATACGCATGCATTGAGAAGTGACAAAACTGGCCAGGTGTGATGGCTCACACCTGTCATCCCAGCACCTTGGGAAGCAGAGGTGGGACAGAGGTGGGAGGATGGTTTGAGCCCAGGAGTTTGAGACCAGCCTGGCCAACACAGGGAGACTTTGTCTCTACAAAAATAATTTTAAAAATTAGCCCAGTGTGGTGTCAAGCACCTGTAGTCCCAGCTACTTGAGAGGCTGAAATAGGAGGATTGCTTGAGCCCAGAAGGTTGAAGCTGCAATGAGCTATAATTGTACCACTGCACTACAGCCTAGGTGACACCGAGAGACCCTGCCTCAAAAAAAAAAAAACAAAAAACAAAACCTGATCTAGACAGTTACCACAGATGCCAACTATTGAGAAAACAAAATCTCAAAAAAATTCAAGTGTAGGAAAACATATCTTAACCAGGGAAATATATTGATACTAATTTAATCCCTTAAAAGATTTAGAAGACATCGCGGAGTATTGTAAGGCTCCCGGTTATAATTGTGGGATTTCAGTGTGCACAGCTGCCTGTGCACTGCAATCATCCAGATTCCTATTCCTGGTCCCTCACCCAGAGTCAGAGGCATTGGGGATGCTGTTGGTCCAGGCATGGGAGCAGGGCCAGGAATGTCTTTATTGGTGGTTTTCAATGAGAGACAATTTTTCCCCTGAGGGAACATTTGGCAATGCTGAGAAGCACTTTTGATTCTTACAACGTAGAGGGTGCTGCTGGTACCAAATATATCATAGAGGCCAGGGATGCTACTAAACAAAGCACAGCCAGCCCCCTGCAACAAAGAGTTATTATCAGGCCCCAAATGTCAATAGTGCCAAGGTTGAGAAACCCTTTTCTGTATTGACCAACAACTCAGATCACTGTGATGCAGGTCATGACCGCCCTCTGAGAAATATGGCTACAGGGCTCTTCTTGTGAGCAGCCAGTTCAGGACTGCATAGACCACGTGCTTCTTGAGGGCAGGCCTATCTATTCATGCTGAGTCCCCAGCACTTAGCACAGCAGAGTAGGTGCTCAGTAAGGATCTGTGAATGAATGAGTGAATCTGCAGATGAGCATGATGCATGATTGCAAACAGGTTCACATTCCAGGAGAAGCTAGAGGACCACCAATGTCTTGTGAACTTGAGAATGTGACAGTCAATTCAATTAGAGACAATTGCAGGGCGGTTGTGTCTCTCAGGCCAGAGCAGGGAAACACCGTGGCTGGTGAGGGCTAGACTCTGGCTCCCTTGAACACCGTAGTCACTAGGAGTAGGGGAACGGGAATATGAGTGTGGCAAGCACTGACTCACAGTGATGGAAGAAGGGCAGAGAAAACTCTTAGTATCCTCTTTGATTTATTGGTTTAAATAACTGGTTTATTGATTTTAAAAAAAGAAGAAATCAGTTTCTGAATCTCTTGCTCTGTTGTGTCCCACAGCCCTCCTGGAAGCCTGTGCGTTCCTCCAGAAGTAAAACCCGAGAAGATGGCCCAGGCTCCCCAAGGAAGCCTCAGCCATTCACTGCCCCCAGCCCTTCTCCCCGGGTGTGCTGGGGCCTTGGCCTCCCTGGCTGAGGGTGGGGATTGCCCATCCATCTGCTCACAATTCCCTGCTGTCGTCTTAGCAAGAAATAAAATGAGAAATATTGTTGATATTCTCTCCTTATAAAGTGTCACTCATCTTTTCTAGAATTTTATACTGAAATCACATGCCTGAGAAAATACCTGTACAGTTGGACCTTCCCTTCCAAGTTTTTCAGGTCCAGCCCCTCCTCTTTCTCGCAGTCTTGGGTATGATGTCCAAGGGTCTGGAATTTAAGGCCAAGCCAAGCACTGGTTTTCCCAAGGGGATCTGGTTGGTTATTCACATAGCTGTCTCAGTGCATGTGCGTGTGTGTGCCTGGGAGTGTGTGTGTGTGTGTGCCCAAGGCAGGGCAGGAAGAGCAGGCGTAGGAATTACAACTGAAATGTAGGTTCAGTTGCTCATCACTTGCAGAGTCTAATTAACAAGAGCTAGGTTTGGTATAAAGAAGGTGACTTTTATTCCAAAGCTACCTTAGGGGAAGAAGGACAGGCTTCTTACCCTAGTACAGAATGGAGTGCCATTCTTTCACTCCTGTTTCACCTTTGGAGCAGAAAGCAGAGGCTTTTAAATGGGGGGTGAGGCATGCAGGGCAGGAAGTGAGCAGGTGGGGGGTCTGGGTACTAGCTTTGGTGCCTTATCTACCAGGCAGTTGAGCTGGTTACTGCTGGTGCCTGTGTGGGCACTACTAGGTTGTAAAAGCAGCCAAAAAATTTTCAGGTGGAAGAGTTTCATAGAGGGCATATTTTGGCTTGTAAATTGACTGTTATGTCTCAAGGTAGCCTCTTGGTGGGAGAGAGTTCTGCTGTGGAGCTTCTAACTAAGAGCACATAGTTAGATGAACTTGCCCTGTTGGGAGTGTCTGGTGAAGAGGAGACAAAAGATTATAATTGCATTTCTCAAGGGCTAAGTAGGAAGCAGAGAAAAGGAGGAGAGACAAGTGAAGACAGAGTAAGTTTAAATAACGAAGCCAGAAATGAAGAAGGAATAATTTTCCTGCTTTTCCATTGGTTCTTTGGACATAACAGGCGAAAGTGTCAATCAGGGTGAGACTGTCCCTTCAAGAGCAGAGATCAGACAAATGTCCTGAAACTCTGCCTCCATTCTGGGGGCAACCTTTTGGCCATGTTCCCCACTGTCAGTGAGATGAAAAGCTCTACTGCTGTCTGCAAAAGCCTCTAAAACCTGTCAGGAAAGGACATTAATTAAGGTCCCATAATACTAGGATGAAGCTCTTTTTCTATTTGCTACTTCGAATTATGGCCAGATGTGTTGTCCATCCTCACTAACATGAGAAGATTAGTCAGTGAGCAACATCTGATGGGGTAGCCACAGCAGTGATAATGCCAGCACTGTAAAACATGACATTTGAACAGTATGAACTTTCTTGTCTAAATAAGATACTAAAGTGAAAGTAAGGCCCACCTGTGAAATTCTCCTGTTCCAGGTTGAAAAGAAATAGAACACCATTGTGTCTCTCTGTTCATGCTCGGTTATATTGCTGTAGCAAATGGTCTCCAAGTCAAAATCTTAGTGGCTAACATGACAGAAATGTGTTTCTCTCTTGTGTCCATCTCCATCATGGGTCAGCAATGGCTCTGTGACTCACGTCTTTATTCTCAGACCCGGGCTGAACCAGCAGCCCCAGTGTTGGGCACGCTGGGCTTGAGAGAGAGGGGAAAATAAAAGAGACAGAGGCAGCTGGTCTGCCTATGGAGTGCCATTCTTTCATTCCTTTATTTTCTTAATAAACCGCTTTAACTTAAGAAAAGAGAGAGTCAAAAGCATCATACAATAATACAGTGTCTGCGTGGCAGAGGCCATATCATCTTCATCATTTCATTGGCCAGAGAATTCACGTGGCCACAACATCAATGAGGTCGCCCAGGAGGAAGAGGCAGTGATGGGGGACTGGGGTTAGTGCAACAGTGCAAAGAAAAATCTTCAGAGCATTTCACAGTGCCCAGCCAGAAAGCCATCACAGGAATGTCCCATCAGCCCACAAAGGCTTCTGCGCAGTCCTAGAGAAGTGTCCTTTGCCCGGGTCCCGCCCCCTTCCCAGAGCATGGCCTAGTGTGTGTGGCTGGATCTCAGTCTCTGTGTGCTACTCACCAGGTTGGTCGGGCCTCTGCCTGCACAGCTGCACAGGCCACTCCGGAAACAGAAGATTGACTAGATGCAGGATGCTTCCTGTGGTATTTCACAATTTGTCCTGCATTGATGATACTTCCCCATACAGAGAACCATGCAGTAGCTCCCGAAGTTGGGTTTCCTGAGGGGGAATCATTCATGTTTGATTTCAGAAACCCTCCCTTCAGGCCATTGCTAACATTTGCTGTGACACCAGTCACTCTCCGAGGCTCAGTAACAGCTTCATCTGCCTCACCCTGTGCCACAACTTTAAGATTGGTTTGGGCACATCCTCTTATCATTTTTGTGTGTGTCTCCTGGGGTCTCTAAGTCCCAAATCTTTCTTTAAAATGTTATTTCTGTAGAGCACCAGATTCTGTCACTGTTCAGGGCACCACTATGTAACCCGCACGAACCTGGGGAAACTGAACAAAGGGGGCAAACGTGGGAATAAAAGACAAGAGACAAAAGAGTATATTTGGAAGAAGGGGTCGGGGGCACTTTGCCTCTAGTGGACAAGGGCCCTGAGCTTTACACAACTCTCCATATGTATTAGGCAAAAGAGATAGCGAGAAGGGGGACGTGTAAGAAGGGGTCAGCTGCTCGGTCCAGAATAGGCTTGCAAGACTGCATTCTCTAGATGTCCCAGTAGATAATCTCAAGGAGCTCCACGCCAGGAAGCGATTTCCCTCAGCAAACTTTCTGGCAGTGGGAGAAGTGTTGAGTTTGCCCGCATCCTGCATTCATGATAAACAGTTTGCTGTTTGATCATGTAGCCTCCAGTGGAATGCTGAGTTGGTCACGTCCCACAGCCCTTTGGCTCCTTACAGACCCCTTCCAGGTTATTAGCCATGACTTTACCTCTTCGTTTCTCTTTTCTATACTTTCCTCGCATTCTACAAAATCAAGTATCCCTGGGCTTTAGAGTAATCTAATGCCTACTGAATCCAAAATAATCTGATTTAATCCTTGAATTTTTAAACAATTTCAATGAATTTTGTTTTTTACCAGGGTTTGGACCTCCCCCATAATAAAATCCCTTATTTCTTTTTGTCACTTCAGTTATAAAATCCAACCTACTGTTTTCCATTGAAAGCTGGGTCTTTCTTTCTTATTTACATAAAAATTGTTGGATGTATGTATGGACAAACCAGGGGAAATTGAGTGTGAGGTGGGGAAGTGTTAAGAAGGCCTCAGAGTGGCTGCAGACCAGATCCATGCATCCCTAGGTGAGTCCCCATCCATTCTCTCCCTCATTCTTAATGTGTTTCCAAACAGGTGAGGAACAATGAAAACCAAGTCGGACATTCTAGTGCTAATTATATAGAGATAATTTATATAAAATGTGATAAATGCAAAATATTTCATCAGGAGTATTAATGTTAAATAACTTCAACTCACTAGTAATTAGGCAATCATTTTTCATCGATTAGCACAATTAAAAATTCAAGTTGCTAATGATATTCAGTATTGTGAGGATGTAATGAAGCAGATAGTCTTATGCAATATCGGCAGGACCATATTATTATACACAGCCTTAGGAGGACAGTTTAGCAACATCTCTCAACATTTTAGGTGAGAAATTTATCTACAGCTGGTGCCTCGGTGCTGATGCTGGGGGCTACTGGCGAGCATGGCGCAGCATTGGATGGGGGGCTCCAGGCTTCAGGCTCCACGCTCCAGGCTGCAGGACCTGGAACTTCTTCCTGCGTCACAGCAGGGCTGCTACAGTGTGCTCTGGTGCAGAACTGGCAGGGGTGCCTGCAGGCCTCTTCTCCAGCATGTGTGTTCACTTTTTTTTTTTTGAGACAGGATCTTACTCTGTTGCCTAGGCTGGAGTGCGCCGGAGCAATCACAGCTCACTGCAGCCTCAACTTCCCCAGTTCAGGTGATCCTTCCACTTCAGCCTCCTGAGTAGCTGGGACTATAGGTGCAGGCCATGCAGGGGCTCATGCTTGTAATCCCAGCACCCTGGGAGGCTGAGGCAGGTGGATTACTTGAGTCCAGGAGTTTGAGACCAGCCTGGGCAACATGGCAAAACTCCATGTCTACAAAAAATACAAAATAATTAGCCATGCATTCACTTCTGAGGGAAAAGTCACAGACTCCGTGGTGCTGTGAACCCCGTCACTCACACCAGAAAGAACATTGTGTGCTCTTGGGTCCTGGGAAAGCTGACTGACCATCTGAGGTGACGCATACTTATTTAGTTATTTATTTTTATTTTATGATTATTGGTTTTTGAGACAGAGTCTCACTCTGTCGTCCAGGCTGCAGTGCAGTGGTGCAATCTCGGCTCACTGCAACCTCCGCCTCCTGGGTTCAAGCAATTCTCCTGCGTCAGCCTCCCCAGTAGCTGGGATTACAGATGCCTGCCACCACTCCCAGCTTAATATTAGTAGAGACGGGGTTTCACCTTGATGGCCAGGCTGGTCTTAAACTCCTGACCTCAAGTGATCTGCCTGTCTCTGCCTCCCCAAGTGCTGGAATTACAGGCTTGAGCCACTGCGCCCAGCCCATGCATACATTTTTTCCTCAGGAGATTAGCTTTTACCAGTAAAGGGCATTCAGAATCAGTTAGCTGACCATTGTTTTCTGAAGTAATCACAGGCCAGTCCCTAGTGGGAGAAAGAAGTGGCCTCTGTAGCAGGACACCTGGAGCTCAGCCCCAGCTCTGCTGTGTGACTGTGTGACCTTGGGTAAGTGCCTTAATGTCTCTGGGCTCAGCTTTCTTTGTAGGTAAAATCAGGGACTTGAGCTTGTTCTCTCTACAGCTCTCCTACAGACTGAGTCTGTCTGCAATCACAAGGAGTAGGAGAGGAAGAGACTTAAAATGTGTTCTTGTGGTCAGCAGCTATGGGTTGGTTGAATGTTTATGTACCCCCAGCCATTCTACTGTTTAGCTTAGAGCTGTTCTCCATGTGGGACCCTTTCAGTGGGTCCATGAGGTCAAA